CTTCTGGGCGTGCAGGGGTGTGCGCTTGCTCTGCTGGTCGCTCTGGAAGTTGGGGTCCAGGTTGTCCACTGCGGGGAGAGCCCGCCGTACGGGAGAGGGAGGGACACGTGGTGAGCGAGCGAGGGGCGGCGCCTGCTCCAGGAAGACTTCTAGGGCACGTGTCAGAGTAGGGAGCCAGGGCACAGCTCAGCCCGAGTCAAAGCGGCCCTTCCCCTGGCTGCTGTGCGCCGGCCCGCAGGCACCTCGGCGAGGACGACCCCGCACCCCGGGCCAGCCCGCTGCTGGGTGGCGCTGGGCGCAGTCGAGCTCGGCTCCCTGTGCGAACGAATGAGCACATACTCACACAGCATCAGCACGACCTTCTGCAGCTCCCCCTGCTTCACGGACAGGTACAGCTGCCGGGGGTGGAAGCGGAGCTTCTTCCGCCTGCCAAGGGGGGTTCTCAGACTCCAGCAGCAGCCTCACCACCAGAGACCGGCCCTCCAGCCCCACCCCAGCCTCCGTGCGGACAGCAGCACACTCACCGCTCGGACTCCTGGACGACCAGGGCCTTTTCCAGGGCCTCCCGGCCTGGCCCAGGTGGCAGCCCCACGGCCATAGCAATTGGTTATAAATGGTTATAAACTGTTTCTACTTTCAGATTTACCAGAGCATTCCACATGCATATATAACACACAGCAAACTACAAAGCAGAATGAACTCGCCCTGCCCGCGCATCCGGGCACTGTGGGAGAAGGGACTAATGTCTTAGGGGCGCCGGGGAGCAACAGGGAAGAGATGGGAGGCGGGGGAGGCCAGTACCTGGGCTGGGAGGTATCCGCTCTCCCAGGGGCATCCTGGGCCAGGGGTGGGGGTGCGGGGGCTGCAGTGCCAGCTGGTGGGGTCACTCCGTCCCCCCGGGGGATGGTCACCTCCTGGGCCTCGGACGCATCCTCCCCACAGTGGGGACAGAAGACCATGCCGTTCATCTGGGACACACAGGCCTTGTGGAAGCGATGGGCCACACGGAAGTCGGGGTGGCACTCCAGGAAGGTGCCCTGGGGCAGGGAAACAGCGGGTGAGGCCAAGGGATCCCCCAGGGGCGCGCTGCCTGCCCGCCCCACGCCCACTCACCACTGTACAGAAGTAGCCGCAGCCCGGGCAGCAGTGGTGCTTGACCATGCGGGCCCGGTGCGCCTCGCAGAGCACCATCAGGGCCACGCGGCTCGAGGGCCTCATGGTCTCCCGCTTGAGGATGGCGGCGTTGCAGCCCGACAGCTGTGGCAGGGAGGGTGGG